CTGCTGCTGCTGTTGCTGCTGTTGCTCCTGCTGCTGTTGTTCTTGTTGCTGTTGTTGTTGCTGCTGCTGCTGCTGCTGTTTCTGTTGTTGTTTCTGCTGCTGCTGTTGTCGCTGCTGCTGTTGTTGCTGCTGCTGCTGTTGCTGTCGTTTCGGTTGCTGCTACTGCTGGTGCTGTTCCTGCTGCTGCTGCTGCTGCTGCTAGTATCTGCAGCAGCAGCAGCAGCAGCAGCAGCAGCATTTGTGTTGTAGTTTATATGTTTACTCATTTACATTTTTTTCTTTTGCTGCTGCTGCTGTTTTTGCTGCTGCTGTTATCGCTGTTGCTCCTGCTGCTCCTGCTGCTGCTCTCCCTTCTCTGCTGCTGCTGCTGCTGCTGCTGCTGCTGCTGCTGCTGCTGCAGTGCACCTGCTGTGTCTGCCTGGCCCGTACACTGTCTTTGTGCCTATCGACGAGGGTTTTCTGTTTTCTTTATCTGCTGCAACAATCTCTCGTTTTGCTGCTAGACTGCAGCAGCTAGCTGCTGCTGATGCTGCTGCTGCTGCTGCTCTCCATTGCTTCCCCTTTCCTTCCTTCTCGCCCTATCTGCAGCAAGAAGAGCTGCAGCAGCTGCTGCTGCAGCAGCAGCAGCTGCCCCCTGCTGCAGCAGCAGCAGCAGCAGAAGCAGCAGCAGAAAATCTATCTCTTTTTGTTAAGGCCCATGTCTTTGAGGGAGAATATACTATTAAAAAAATACTCACACATGTAACCTGCTGCTGCTGCTGCTGCTGCTGGTGCTGGTGCTGCTGGTGTTTGTGGTGCTGTTGCTGCTGCTGCTGCTGTTCTTGTTGTTGCTGTTTATGCTGGTGGTGCTGCTGCTGCTGGTGCGGCTGACGAGGGTGCTGCTTCTGCTGCTCCTTGTGTTGCTGCTGCTGCTGCTGCTGTTCCTGCTGCTGCTGCTGCTGCTGCTGCTGCATGGGTTTGTTGCAGTTTGCTGCTGCTGCTGCTGCTGCTGCTGCTTGTCTTTGTTTTGCTTTTTGTTCAGCGAGGTGACCCGGGTGCTGTGCCTTCTTCGGCAGCAGCATCAGCAGCAGCAGCAGCAGCAGCAACCCCAACAGCAGCAGCTGACACTGCTGCTGCTGCTGCTGCTGTTGC